ATTTGTGAATTACAATGAAGTTACAGCATCACACCACAGTACATATACATTTAAATCATATATAGTTGTTTCTCGTTATTTTCAGTACATATGTTTTATAAAGTCTCCACAAACACTGAATTAGGAAATACTGAACAATTATTCCTAGGTAAAGTAGGGTTAGCTTGCTCTGAATCTCTGGTTAAAACATTTTCATCAGCCAATTACCCATGTTCCATCTATGTTTATGTTTAAAGGCACCTTATTTTATATCATTGATTCATTAGGGTTGAATTCAGCGCCAACAGCATTATAAATCTTGCCTGAATGAAGTTTATCTAAAACACACATTTTCATATTTTCTCTGTATTAGTCTTGAGCTTAGCAGCACCACATAGCATTTCAGCACTATGTATAGAGCCTAATTTAAACAGAAAATTTAACAAAAAAAGAAAAGGATGTGACATTAAATATATAACATGTGTTTACTGTATGATAACTAAAAACAAGGCAGCAGAGTATCTCCATATTCATTGACCTCATGTATGAATTGGCTCTTTCCAAGATTCAAAGATTCTGCTACTCTGGCATTTCTGGAATGACCAGAACACCACTGCAAATATTTGTTTTAGGGTTATGAATAAATTCTAAAATGTAGGCAATTTGAAAATATAGAGTCCATGAATGTTGAATACCAACTCTATTAAACACTGCTTACACTAAAATTGTGACCAACATTCTCTTGCTTTCTCCCCAACCCCATCCCTACCTAATTCCCTCAATATTTTACCATTTTGATATTTCACTCCCTTCAATTTCCTATCTTTTTTCTCATCTAATTCTCCCAGATTACTAACTTTGATGTAAATTATTCCATTCTGTGAGAAATAGTATGTTCAAAGCCATCTTTCAAGATATACATCTAACAAATGGTTACATGGAGCCAGCAATGACTTCGAGATTATAGTCTTTCTGATAAATATTAGTTTCCTAGGGTTGCTATAACAAAGTACCCCAAATTGACTAGCATAGAACAACATAAATTTATTGTCTCACAGTGTGGAGGCTAGAAGTCCAAAATCAAAATGTTGGCAGGGCTGTGATTTTTCTGAAATCTATAGAGAAGAATCCTCCCTTTCACCTTTCTAGCTTCTAGGTACATTTATCATTCCTTGGGATAAAGCTTAGCACTTCAAATTCTGCCTCCATCATTAAGTGATGTTCTCAAATGTGTCTGCATCTCTGATCACTTTCACTTGAAGTTGGTTTCACCTGAGTCAAAGGAGGTCAGTTGAAACTTAGATTTTGCAAGCTGAGGAATATTCTATCACATTTCTGAAATGTCTGTGAAATGTCAGGAAACATTGTACATTCCCCAAATACTCAAATATAATGCATTTGGGAATAGTTTATAGTGACAATTAACTTTCTGTTCTATTGACTTACTTGTGATTGTTTCCCTATTTGATGGTGCCCTCCTAAGAAGAGGATTGGGAGTGGGAAATACTTGTTAAAGTCTCTCTTGAACCATTCTCCTGCCACCTTCACTAACAACTTCTCTCCAAAAGGACAAGCCATGACAACCAACTTTGCATTACGTGATACTATTTAACTATAATTCAATGGACAAGGCATCCACTGGACTCAACTATTAACATAATCTCTCCTAGAAGTTTGATCATATGAGAGATAGATGTTGGTTTCTGCTGTTTGATTTAATTGAGAACAACTAAATTTGGCAGCTGTCAGGAAATGGTCTTCCATTCTATACCCAGGAAGGATATAGAGAAAAGCCAGACTTTAAAGGCAAAGCCAAGATGAGAGACCACAAATTCTATAAAAAAGAAGGGTCAGGACAGTAGCTACCTTGGAGCTGCCAATCATGTTTCCATTCTTGGAGTCTCTAGAGCACGTTTTGCCATTGTGTTCCATGGGGCCCACCTGTGTCCAGTTAACCACCATCTTCTCTTCCTTTTTCACACTAGTTTGACTTGTTTCTCTTTTTGCAAAAGTAGCCTTCATGAGAATGAAACTGAGTTAAACCTTTCCATCATTTGTTAGTTTTCTGGACAAGCCAATTGAATTACTAACATGAAACTGACAGGAGAGAATTTCTTAGCCTCCTATAAAAGTTGTCTGACCGACAATGGTGATACATAGATGACTGAACTGCAAATTTTAATAATGTGAAAAATAAGATTATTCCTGACCATAAATGATCAAAGAGATGTAGACACTTTGTCTCCTACCCATTTCGAATGACATATACATTCCTTGTAAAACAGCATTAATAAACTTTGGTCAACCCTTCATTTTAGCAGTCTACAAATAAAATTGATTGCTATGTACCTGTAATATATTTCTGTGTTCTCTCCTACAGTTTACCAACTCATCTCTACCTCCTGCTAGGGGCTAAAATATTGTAAACATCTTAATGAAGGGCTGACTTAATAGTGCTTCCCAAGTTCTGTCATTGCTCACTGACATTGAGCTTAATGCATTTCAGTTGTCATCACATTTTGTTAAAACACAAACCTTATGTTCTATTTATCAGCACTGCTTTCTAATGACATTTTTAAGGTTTCCTAAAATTTTATGTCAGATATGACACTCTTGCCCTGGAGCAAGTGTGTCATATCTTTATTTTCATAGCTCTCAGGAGCTGGATCTAAAATGCTGTGACCACATTCCACGACAGAGATATTCATTCATTCATTTATACTCCCACTTTTGTGCAACAGTCTCCAAAGGTATTATCTTTGTGAGGCTCTAGTTTTCCTTCAAGAATGTCACAACTTAGAAAAGCTAATACACACAGAGACACACATACACACACACAAAGTGATCTAATTAAGGAAGAAAATATACCCATATTAACAGAAAGCATTCAGAATCCAAAATATTATTTTTCTGGGTAAACAGATTAGGAAATATCTTGAAAAAAGTATATAATTGGAATTATGAGAAATATAGAAAAGATAAATTGGAAACAAGATCAAATTAAAAACTGAAAAATGAAATGCAGTATAATTTTTTTCTTGGCATTTTTTAAATTAAATATTATCTTTTAAATCCAGCTACAATATATGTTCCTTTTGGTTTTAATGATTGCTTCAGTTATCTTAGTGACCCTAAATGTGTCAGCAAATCCCATGTTATTTTTATCTACTCACAGCCTTCCCTAATCTAATCAGAAGTTTCCTCATAGTCACAAAATAAGACAGCTTGATCTGACTCAATGTATCTCAGGCCTTTACCAGGATTCATAGAACTTGTTAGAATATCCAATTCCTTGAAAATTTTGCAAAACAAATAACTGCTAAATCTTCACATGTTCTGGTCATGAACAAAATCCCACTAAGAATCAAAATGTATTCAGCAAGAGTTCAAGGAGGGAAGGTAAGTCTGTCATTAAAGGACACTTGTTTATACCCAAAATACTAGAGGGAAAAGTCATTTAAATTCAAATGAGAGGCCCTACCTGGTGGCAAAAGAGGTTAAGACACAACTTTTGAAGCTGTCCACAGCCACTGCAGCATGAGTTTGATTCCCTGGCTGGCCAGGGAACAACCCACATGGCACAGCAGACCTCTCCTGACTCGCCCGCTGCGCCCCTCAGCAGTGTACTTCAGTCATTCTCCCTGTTCTGTTCCCCACTCCGTCTCTGGTGAATCCTCTCACCCCACCCCCCCAATACTCTGGCCTGTACTCTAGCTCTTGTATGCATAAATAAATAAATCTTAAAAAAAATAAAATAAATTCAAGTGAGAATTTAACTAACCTGACATTTCATGTGTATGTAGTTTCCAAGTGTAGGGTAAATAAAAACATATCAGGCTTTTCTGCCCTCACGCCATTAAATGCATGCCTGATGGCGGGCACCTGGAGTAGAGTGTGTGGGCTTACACAGGTGGGTGCATCTGGGCTGAGACTGGGCTTAAAAGGGCACTGTCATGGAAACAGAAGAACCACCTGAAGGCGAACAAGCAAGAAAGCAGAATGGAACCAGCAGAGAAGCAGAGGCCACGAGAGAATGCCAGAGAGCACAGAGACAGTGAAGATTCACTGGAGGCTGGGAGGCGTGCCAGCCTCCAGGCCCCCTGGCTCCCTTGCCTGCTGTGTACCTAGCAAAAGCTCAGTAAAAGCCTGACAAAGCCACGGAGGGCTCCAGGACTTCTCCTTTACACATCTACCTAGGATCATTGAGATCCTGCACTGTGCCCTTCCTGCTACTACACCAACTGATAAAAATCTTACTTGATATTTTATAAATTTACATTGAATATTAGCAGGAAATCCAAGGTGGAAGATAGCTGAATCCCTAAGTTTCAGTTATGGTAAATTAAGTGTCCTTTACATCATGAAATCTGGGACATTTGTGAAACCAAAAGGATGGATTGTTTCCTCCAAGCTGAAGTAAATTCTGCTTTGGTTTATATGTAAACTCATGAAATAAACACAAGAGAATAGAACTGTTCAGTCCTTTATCCAAATTAGAGAAATACAGAAAACTGATATTTAGTCCACATTTTCCTTTTCTTTTGCCATCCTGTTTGAAAGAAACACATCATACATTATGGATATACTTTTTTTTTTTTTTTGCTAGAGAGTCTTCCCTCACAAACATCCAATCCCCAGCCCTTCCATCCTAGACAGAAATATGAGTCTCTTTACCAATGTGAACTCTCACTGGGTATGCTAATGGAAATATACACACTAATTACACAGACGTGAGAAGAAAATAATGGGGCCTCCCCGGTGGCGCAGCAATTGAGCGCTGGGCTGCGAAGCTGCCCGCAGCCTCTGCAGCACCGGTTCGATCCCCAGCCGCTGGCGAGGGTCCCACATGGCGCCCAGACCTCTCCCGCCATGCCCACTGCTCCCTTCAGCAGTGTGCTTCATCGGTCTGCCTGTTCTGTTCCCTGCTCTGGCTCTGGTCAATTCTCTCACTCTTCCGCACTTCTGACTATATCCAGTGCTTGTATAAATAAATCTTAAAAAATAATTATATATTTGATTACCTGAAGGGAGTGAGAATTTCTCTTTCTGGATCTAGGAGAGCCCAGATCACCTTGACCTCAGGAGATCAGTTCACAAACCATGAAATGCCCTGAAACACAAATGCCTTCATGTCAACAAGAAGCTGTGATCCAGAACTGCAATGCAAGCTATTTTTACCCACGTAATATCCAGTTAAAAGTACAAGAAGCACTGATAAGCACTCCACAGTCCAGATGACAAGATATTCTTCTCAAATAAGTAAAATGTTCTAAATCACACAGAAGTGCTCTTTCATAAACCATGAGCCTGAAGGACTTCACCTGCTCTGACAGAGTTAATTCCGACAGAGGCATTATAAGAGCTAAGATGGACCAGAAACAAATACCTGATAAGGATAAATAATACTAAATATGAAGTGGAAACAATGTACTCTTAAATATGTATTATGCACCTGACATTCTGTTAGGTGTTTTCATGCAATCTCATTAAAGTCTTCCATAAACTTTACAAAGTAGATGCTGTTACAAAGAATGCTCTGAAACATCTTTCACCTAAAGCACTCCCTGGGAGAATTGATTATTCTCCACCCCTTCAGTGAAACATGCTGAGCAATGCTCATCATACATTCAACACTTGTAACAACCAAGCTATTTTTTAATACTAATGGATACTGAAAAGTGTTCATTTATCTATCCAAATTTTGAGTTTTATGCTACCAACAATGAGTTTGGTTGGATCCTTAATCTCAGCTATCATTGTTTTGAAATTATATTGCTTAAATATAAGCCAATAAGACAGAAATTTCTAAAGTAACTTATTTTCTATAAACATTAAGTAGAATATTTGGGGAGATGAATAAATATAGGTCAATAAAAAGAAATGTTGTTGAATTATGTTTATACAGTCACTGTAAAGTTCTGGGAACAATACAAATCGAGAAAGAATGTGGTAGAAGACTGCTTCACAAGTCTCTAAAGTTTGCACTCATTTTAAAGAAACTAAGAATAAAAGTTGTATTTAACAAGGTTTAACATACTTTTATAAATCCCCCAACAAGATGTGTATAGAAGGAATGTAATTCAACATAAGAAAGGCCATAGATGACAAACCCATAGCCAAGATCACACTCAACAGCAAAGAACTAAAAGTTTTTCTATTAAAATCAGCAATAAGACAAGGATGTCTACCCTCATGACTACTTACTGTAGCTGTGATAAATTGCCCTAAGTTTTCCGGATGTTCAAGTTATATTATTCTTTCTCTCTGATTTTTAATCCTTTGAGCTTTGAACCATCTGACAAATATATTCCTCCCCTTCCATATTACCTGGAAAACATTTATTTGACAATATTAAAAGTCTCAAAATTAGTGTCATTCCTTCTAGGATAATAACTTCTCCCTCAAGAGTAGAAACTCTTTTTTATTTATTTTTATTTTTTAAACATCCTTGTTTATTTTTTCACAATATAGTATTTCTCCACTCATGTGTGGTTACCATAGATTTCCCACCACTAAAGCACCCATAGTCCTCTATCATAGTCCATTGTGCTCTCCTGCACCCCTGTTTTCTGTTCTCTTCCTCTATGCCACTTCCCTATTCACTCCTGAATGTCTCAGATCTATGGTCTGTTTTCAAGGGTGTATTACCATTTGTCTTTATCAGATCCTTTGTTTGGTATCTCTAGATTCCACATATAAGTAAAACTATTCAGTATTTATCTTTCTCCTGTGGCTCAAGGAAACCCTTTTATGTACAGTGCCTTTACTTAAGTCTGCTAGACTTTTCATCATACTAGTTATTTCTTGTTACTTATTCTGATGCCCCAACTAGAGTATTTATTTTTTAATCTCAAGGACTCTATAATTCATCATTATATTTACAGTATCAAACCTAGTGCCTGATAACATCACTAGCAATCAATATTTTTTTGCAATGAAAACAGGAAGATATTCTGATTTTATATTAATTAATATATTCAAGAGATAAGGGAGATTTATAGTATCATCAACAGATTATGAACTGTAAGAATACCATGCTGATACCAAACATAGTACTGGATATCTGTGACCAGACCTTAAAGATTTGCTTTATTTCCAGATCAAATAACATTTACCTTTTTAAAATCCTTTTTAACATTCCATACCTAATACACACATTTAAAATATTAAGAGACATGCCATAATGTGAAATTAGATACTAAGACAATAGTTTTTATTTTTTTAATTTTTTAAAAAGCTATATTTATTTATGCATACAAGAACTGGGATGCAGGCCAGAGGTGCAGAGGGGTGAGAGGGTTCACCAGAGACAGAGTGGGGAGCAGAACAGGCAGATTGACAGAAAAACACTGCTAAGGGGAAGGGAGGGGGGTTCAGACTAGTCCTGCAGTGGCTGCTGATAGATTCATGGTGCTGAGGCTTAACCCCTTGCACCACCAGGGAGACATAGATAATAGTTTTTTCTAAATGCTATTTTAAAATTTCTTTTATTACATGACTTCATATTCTACTAATTAAAAATGTATAATTATTCAGTCATAAAATAGGGTGAAATTTAACATGAAAATTTTGTGGATAAAAAGGAAAATCGAGTTTTCAAAGCCAAAGAATACATAAACTGATTGCAGGGAAATATTTATTTAATTTAAAAGAATTATTTAAAAGCCCATTAGAAGTATTTATCTACATAAAAGTAATCAATAGTATAATTGTAATTCATTGTCTTCTTTCTTTAAAGAAGGTTCTTTAGCAGGTTTTCTGTATAATTCTTTCTTAATCTAGATCAGGTTAACTAAAAGAAATGAAGCTCATTTTAAAAAGTATAATTTAAACTTTTACTTAATTCAAGCTATTCTATCCAGTTCAAGTTGTTCTCAATCTTTTATGTATAACACACATGAAGGGTAATCATTAACACAGTCATTTCTTTACTTGTTCAATGAGCATTTATTAAGAGCCTACTATTTTCCAAGTCCCCTTGTAAGCACTGTATTTAAAGCAAGGAACAAATGATCCATTTTTCTCATGGAGCTTATATTACAATGGAGACAGATAATAAATAAGTAAATAGGTTAAAATGAAGAAGTGACATGGGCTCTCTCATGAAAATAAGAACATGATGTGACATGGAGTTATTTCAATTTGCATAATCAAAAAACTCTTTTTGAGGAAGAGGTATATAAATCAAGATTAATTAGTAAGGAGAAGAAAGTTATTCAAATCTGTAGGAAAAACATTCCAGGCAGAGAAAATAACTAGCTTCTAATCCTGGATAATAAAGGATTCATAAAATGAGGTAAGAGAGAGCAGGGCTCATATGATGTATGCCTTTATAAGCTAAGAATTTGGATTTTATTCTAAATGCAATTGTGTATCTATAAAGATTTTTAAGGAAATGAGAGACATGATGTGATACCAAAGTTCCTACACATACTACACACATACTGGCTTAGCAGAGGCACAGGATGAAAGGAAAGAAACAGAATAGAAAGGCTTAAATCACATAAGAGGCCATTGCAGTGGTCAACATGAAACTAAGTGATAGGATTAGATATGGAAAAGAATGAATAATTTTAGGACATTTTGAAAAAAAGATGCTATTAAACTTCAAGGAAAAAAGAATACAAAGATTGGAGCTGATGTTTTGAGGTTCAGCTGCTGAACAGTAATGACCTTCACTCTGATGGAAAAGATGAAAGAATAAGTTGGGATAGAGGACCAAACATGTTTTGAAAACTTAGAAATAGATACTTATTAAGTATCTATATGTGTAAGTCACAGAAAGGTGTGCCAATGAACTTGGTCCAGACTGAGGTGGAAATAATTGAGTTAGGATTCACCAGCAGAGAGGTTAAATTTGAAGACATGAAACTGGTAAAAATTAGCTAATGAAATAACAGAGACTTAAAAAAGAAAAAAGAGTTCAAAAAAAACAAAATCTATAGCATATCAATATTTATAGGTTGTGCAAAGGCGCTGACTATAGCAAAGGGGAAGCAGAATTAATTAGTTAAAATGAAAGTCACAGAATTCAGTGCCATGGAAGCCAGAAGAAAATGTTTCAAGGAGAGAAGTCACATACTCTGTTATATATTGAAATCTAGTAAAATGTAGAGAGAAAATTGAAACACTGACTTTGGCAAAATGTTGGTTATTGGAGATCAGACAATGAATGGTTCTATTAGAGCAGTAGCCAGGGAAGTCTGATAAACGTGAGTTGAGAGAAGGATGAGAGAAGAGAAATCATAGATTGCTTAAATGAGTAACTCAGCAAATTTGCTATAGAACAAAAAAAGAGGGCCTCTCTGGTGGCCCAGCAGGTTGAGCGCAGCACTGTGAAGCTGTCCACAGCCTCTGCAGCCCGGGTTTGATTCCTGGCAGGCCAGGGAGATATCCACATGGTGCGGCAGACCTCTGCAGTCATGCCAACTGCTCCCCTCAGCAGTGTATTTCGGTCTGTCTGCCTGTTCTGCTCCCTGCTCTGTCTCTGCTGAATCCTCTCACCCTCCCGCGCCTCTGCCCTATACCCCATTTTTTGTATAAAAATAAATAAATCTTGAGAGAGAGAGAGAGAAAGAGAGAAAATGAGGATATTGTTGAAGTGGGACTTGACCTCAAAGGGAAGTTGTTCTAAAATTGGTGTTTTCATGGCATGCTTGAATGCAATGATAATGTTCCAGTTGGAAATGGGTATAGGCAATTCAGGAGAAAGGAGTCAATTCAAAGATGGAAATTCAAATTCTTGAAAAGGTGCTGGGCTATCCAGAGCACATATGGAAAAGCTCACCTTTTACTGGACCAAGGAAACTTCATCTATTGTAACAGAAGGGAAGGAAAGAATATATAGCAGACACAGATAAATTGGTGAGATTGGTACTGAGAATTAAGAGTTGTTTGTGTCATGAAGTATGAGACAGTCATTTCTTAAGACTGAGAGTGGGGGCCTCCCTGGTGGTGCAGGGGTTAAGACTCAACCTATGAAGTAATCCACAGCCACTGCAGCATGAGTTCGATTCCCAGCCGGCCAGGGAGAAACCCACATGGTGGGACAGACCTCTCCTGTCTCGCCCGCTGCTCCCCTCAGCAGTGTACTTAGGTCCGTCTGCCTGTTCTGTTTCCCGCTTTGTCTCTGGTGAATCCTCTCATCCCCCGCATCTCTGAAGGAAAATGTGGGATGTTTGAGGAAAGGGCTGAAGTTATAAAGCAGTCACCTAGAGGGCACCCCGGTGGCGCAGCAGTTGAGCACTGGCCTGCGAAGCTGCCCACAGCCTCTGCAGCATGCGTTCAATCCCCAGCGACTGGTGAGGGTCCCACATGGCGTCTCGACCTCTCCTGCAGCCCGCTGCTCCCCTCAGCAGTGTATTTCGTCAGTCTGCCTGTTCTGTTCCCCGCTCTGGCTCTGGTGAATTCTCTCACCTTCCCGTGCTTCTGACTGTACCCAGTGCTTGTGTAAATAAATGTGTAAATCTTTAAAAAAAACAAAAATAAAAAAATAAAGTAGTCACCTAGGGAGATGAAAAGGAATCCACTAGGAGTCTATTTGATTCTTATGAACATAAATTTAAATATTTAAAGTAAAATTTTTTATAGCCAATGCCCCCAAAATTTAAAAAAAAAAACCACAACAAACTATTATGAACAATTATATGACAACAATTTGGAAAATCTAAGAAAAAAATGGATAAATTCATAGAAACATACAAACTAACATGTATCAAGAAGAAATGGAAAGCCTGAAAAGGCCCGTAAATAACAAATAAGGACATTAAATCAGTAGTCAAAAACTTTCTACATAAAAGAAATCCAGGATCAAATGATATCACAGTGAATTCAACTAAACATTTGAGAAAAAAAATAATACACATCCAAATATTAGAACATCTGGAAATACTTTCAAACTCACTTTATAAAGCCAACATTACCTTGATACTAAAGACAGGCAAAGATACCACAAAAAAAAAAAAAAAAAAAAAAACCTACAGCCAACAAAGGAAACTTTTATGCAAAAATCCTTAACAAGTTTCCAGCAACTCAAATTCAACAGCACATTAAAAAATACTATATACAGCATGAACAAGAGGGATTCATCCATGGGATTCAACATGTACAAATCAATATGGTACACTGTGTTCACAAAATGAAGATAAAAATCACCTGATTATCTCAGTAGATATAGGAAGGGTAAGTGACAAAATTAAAACTCTTAAAAATGATAAAACTCTTTAAAAATTAGGTATAAATGAAACTTACCTAAGCACATTAAAGGCCATATATAAAGTCCATTGCTAACATCATACTCAATAGTGAAAAATTAAAAGATTTTTCTC